GTGTGTGTGAGTGTGTGTGTGTGTGTGTGTGTGTGGGTGGGTGGGTGGGTGTTTATATTTATGTATAATTGTGTTATGTATGTATTTATATATATATATATATATATATATATATATATGTGTGTGTGTGTGTGTGTGTGTGTATTATGTATGTATGTGAGTTGTGTGTGTTTGTTTGTTTGTCTGTGTGTGTGTGTTTGTGCGTGAACGTACGTACATTAGCAACAACAAAAAACTGGGAACAACATCAAAAACGTATGCACTAGCATGAAAAACAACAACAACAACAACAACAACAACAACAACAGGATATACAAAACATCAGTAGCAGCAACAGCAACAACAGAATTTACAAAACATCAGCAGTAGCAACAACAGCAACAACAACATTCTTACACACAAACATACATCCATTTAGAGAAGTCGTAAATAAAATAGATCACTCGCCGTTTAGAAATTAGTTGTCTTAATAAAAAGCAATTACAAATGTTTAAATTGCGCGTGTTGTTGCTATATACATATGTGTATTTGTATGTACGTGTATGTATGTGTGTGCGTGTCTGTATGCTTGTGTGTCTATCTGTGTGTGTGTGATCACGTATGTATGTGTGCTAACGTGTTTTATGTAGCTATCCTAATGTACCGCTGCCTTCACTGTGACATTCACATTGATGAAGATGATGACGACGATGATGAGAATGATGATGATGACGACGATGAAAATGACGATGATAATAATTGTAACATGGGTGAAGATAACGATGATGGTGATGATGGTGGTGATGAGGAAAAATGCCGATCACAAATAACTGTTGCAATTAATGATAATAATGATTAGTAATTCTGTCATCTCTATCACCATCATCATCATATCATTATCATCACCGTAATCATTATCATCGCCGTAATCATTATCATCACAGCCATCATTATCACAATCATTATCACAATCAGGCAAAGCGGGCGATAATAAAAGCAATCTTTGAAATAGCCCATATTGCGCCCGCTAACGTGATTGGTTGTGGTTCGTGTCACGTGACTGTTAAGAATGCGATTGATTGGTTGCTGGGATGCGTGGGGTCGCAAACGACATAAATAATTTATCGTTCAATTGCTTTTATTAATTAAGGAACTACTGACTAATGACGTCACCGCTGCTGTTGTTGTTGTTTCTATTGTTGTTGTTTGTTGTTGTTGCTGAAGCTGATGTTATTATTGTTGTTGTTGCTATTATTATTTACGTTATGTTATTGTTGTAATATATATTTATAGCGGAATAACAAAAATAACAACATAACTACAAATAATATTGTGCTACTGGTAGATATAACACTGCTAAAGAGGACTCTAACATTAATAATAACAACAATAACAATAATAGCAATGAGAATATTCTTCTTATTATTATTTTAACTATTATTATTATTTTAATAATAAAAATAATTATTATTTTTATTATTATGATTCCTCTCGCATATTAATATCGCCCTGCTAATTGCAATCGTCAGTGTGAACGTTATTGCTGACTGTGATGATGTTGTTGTTGTTGTTGTCAGGATGATGATGTTGTTGTTTGTGATGATGTTGTTGTGGTTTGGATGATGATGTTGTTGTTGTTGTGATGATGATGTTGTTGTTTGGATGGTGATGATGTTGTTGTTGTTGTTGTGATGATGTTGTTGTTTGGATGGTGATGATGATGACGACGATGATGATGATGATAGTGATGATGATAGTGATGATGGTGATGGTGATGACGACAATGATGATGATGGTGGTGATGAGAAGATT